ATACAACCACGATACAACCACAACACATCCATAATGCTAGTAAATGCAGTACTGTGTGTTTTTATCAGGAGCTGCCATGACACCAGAGGACCTCTTAAACACTTTGGATGATCTTGGCAACGAGGATTTCACCAGATTCAAATGGTTCCTGCAGCAACCAGACTGCCTTGAGGGCCTCCCGGTCATCAGAAAGGGTCGCCTTCAGGCAGCAAACAGAGAGGACACTGTTGATCTGCTGGTCCAGACCTACACACTTCCTGGAGCGCTGGGCGTCATCAGGGAGGTTCTAGAAAAGATCCACAGGAATGATCTTCTCCACAGTTTGTCTGTCAGCAGCTCAGAACCAGAAGGTCAGTGATAGAAACAAACATCTGATTAATGTATTGGAGCAACTTTCTCATCTACTTGCCACACATTGTCTGTACCCGTCAGTCCATGGCAGGGATGATGAGGAGTCTTCTGGGAGCATGGCACAGGCCTCTCTGACTCTTCCTCCAAGAGAAGGTAAACCTGTTGGCTTCCAGTCTTCAAGTCAGTCTTTAATGAGACTCAAACTGAGAACAAGTTGTAAATGAGTCCATGAAGTCTGGATCCGATAAACCGAGGTCTGATCTGGACTTGAAGCTGTACTGAATGATATGGAGAAGAACTTCAGGTTCAACACACTGAAAAAACTTAACGGCGATATCTTTAGTGTCCTGATGCTCCAACCAATAAATGTCTAGTTTATTTTTTAGATGTGTTTCAGTTCCCTGGCAGAAAGGAATGTTAAATGTGTCACAACTTTATTCACTGATCAGTCTCGGCAGAATATAGTTTAGATTCTCACATTTCACTTGTTTCTATGCACAGATGTGGTGGTTCGGGCTCCTGAGCCGCATCCCATCGCTTTCTACCAGCAGATGCTTCAGTCGAACTTCCAGGACAAGTTCATGTGTGCTGAGGAGGGCTGGGCAGAGGACAAGCAGCGTCTGGTTGACGTCTACACGGAGGTCTACGTCACTGCCGGGCGTGACGTCCACATCAACACGCAACACGAGGTCAGGCAGATTGAGAATGTGTTGAAGCCAGCCGGGGAAACGGCAGTGAAACCCAGAGACATGTTCAGTCATCCTTCAGGAGAGTACCAGCCCATAAAAACGGTTCTGACCAATGGGATAGCAGGGATTGGAAAAACTTTCCTTGTGCAGAAGTTTGTGTTGGACTGGGCTGAACGACGATCCAATCAAGACGTGGATCTGATTTTCCCCTTCACCTTCCGCCAGCTGAATCCACTGAGAGCAGAAAGACTCAGTTTAGCTCAGCTCATCCACGAATGCATCCCAGAAACTGTAGACATCAGAGAGGAGGCTCTGAATTACATCTTTAAAGCGCTGCAGTCTTCTGGAAACAGCAACTTTGACAAAAGTAGATTTAAACTTCTGTTTGTGTTTGATGGACTGGACGAGAGCCGGCTTCATCTGGATCTTCACGTCGACGACGTCCGATCTGTCGACGTGACAAAGACGAGCACAACCGACGTTCTGCTGAGGAACCTCATCAGCGGGAAACTGCTACGCTCTGCTCGGATCTGGATAACATCCCGGCCGGCGGCAACCAATCAGATCCCTGGGCGGTTTGTCAGCAGCGTGAACGAGGTCAGAGGCTTCACCGACCTCCAGAAGGAGACGTACTTCAGGAAAAGATTCAGAGGAGAAGAGCAGGCCGAGCAGATCATCGCCCACATCCAGGCGTCCCAGAGCCTCCACATCATGTGCCACATCCCCGTCTTCTGCTGGATCGCAGCTTCGGTCCTGGAGGACGTGTTGAAGACCCGAGGAGCCGCAGAGCTACCCAACAGCCTGACGGACATGTACACAGAGTTCCTGGTGTTCCAGATCCACCATACTAAACAGAAATACGGCTCCCAGGCGTCTCTTCACTACATCAAATCCTTAGCTAAACTAGCTTACCAGCAGCTGGAGAAGGGCAACCTGATCTTCTACAAGAAGGATCTGATAGAGAGCAATGTGGACTTCAAAGAAGCCTCAGTGTTCTCCGGCGTATTCACAGAGATCTTCAAAGAGGTACGTGGCAGGAAAGGCAAAGACGAGATGTTTAGCTTCGTCCATCTGAGCGTTCAGGAGTTTCTGGCTGCTGTTTATGTCAGGATGTCTCCTAGCAACAGCAGCAAAATATCATTTTTCAGGCAACGATCAATGAAAAACCTTCAACTCATATTAAACCAAACATCTTCAAAGAAGATTCACAGGATTTACATCAACAAGGCCTTGCAGTCTCCAAACGGTCACCTGGACTTGTTCCTCCGCTTCTTTTTAGGTCTCTCTCTGAGCAGCAGCCAGGGTAAACTGAAGGAGCTGCTGAACCTGACAATCTGCAGCTTGGAAACCAAACGGAAAACTGTTCAGTACATCAAGAAGAAGATCAGTGAGAATGTGTCTGTAGAGAAAAGCCTCAACCTGTTCCACTGCCTGAACGAACTGAACGATCGTTCTCTGGTGGAGGACATCCAGCGGTACCTGAGCTCAGGAAGTCTCTCTGCAGACCAGCTGTCTCCAGCTCAGTGGTCCGCTCTGGTCTTTATCCTGCTGTCTACTAAAGATCTGAACGTGTTTGAGTTGAAGAAGTACTCGGCGTCAGAGGAGGCTTTTCTGAAGCTGCTGCCGGTGGTCAAAGCTTCCAGCAGAGCGCTGTAGGTATACGAAAGCTTTATTACACATCGTTGTAGTTAAGTTACCGTGAACTTTGATATGGAAGCAAATCACAGAGTTCTTCTTTTTCTTCCTTCAGGCTGAGTGAATGTAATCTGACAGAGAGAAGCTGTGAGGCTCTCGGCTTTTTGCTCATTTCTGAGTCATCTGGTCTGAAAGATTTGGACCTGAGCAAAAATATCCTGCAGGATTCAGGAGTGAAGCTGCTGCTGGCTGGAATGCAGAGTCCTTTGTGTAAACTCCAGGCGCTCGGGTAAGCTCCAGTGGCTTCCCAAAGTACTCATACACCTTGAACTTTTCCGTATTTGGTCACATTACAATCTTTTTGTAGGATAGACCTGCTTTAAGTTCTGGCTGGATAAAAAAGAAATATTAATTTCCCAGATAAAGATCCTAAACTAGAGAGTCCAACAGGTTATCCCGGACAGGCATCACAGGGAAAAGCTGCCAGGAGTTTTCATGGGCCGTCGGCTCAACGTTCTGCTGTCTGACGGTTCTGGACCTGAGCAGCAACGAGCTGCAGGACTCAGGAGTGAAGCTGCTCTGTGCGGCGCTGCTGCGTCCGGACTGCACTCTGGAAACTCTCAGGTCAGACCCAGCAGGTTGACTCCGCTTCCTTATCTACTGCTAACCAACGCGTCATGCTATCTGTGTGTGAAATGACAGTGAATATTAAATATTATGTCTAGATATTCCACCAGCTTTCAATACAAAGCAACTTGTAAAGTGATACCACCATTCAGCTTCAGTATAAAAGAAAATATTGATGTGACTGAAATATCAAAAACTTTCCAGTGAAAAAATTATGCAAATTGTTAAAATGGTGCAAAGAGAAGTTTTTTTTCCTCAGAAGAGACGTTGAGCGTTGCTTCCTGTTCTCTGCAGCAGGTTTTAATCCAAGGCAGGTTGTTCAGTTTTTCCTGCAGCCTGCTAACTGTCACAGAGTCTCTCCCAAAGATGCACAGAAGGAATAAAAATAAATACAAAAGAAAATATT